TTTAGGCAAGTATTATACCTTAACTACAAAATAATTAGATAAATAATGACTATAAAAATAATATATTTATAAGTATTAAGTAATAAATATAAGAGTTTAGAATTATTTACTCGATCTTTCTAACTGGCTTGTTTAATTGGCTTATTACCTATATTTATATAATTAAAATTTTGCTTGTATTTATTATACTTTATATTTATATAATGATAAAAATTTTAAAAAATAAAAATAACAAAACAGAAAAATAAACCTTAAACCAAAGAAATCACACATACAACAATAACAACTAATATAAATAACAAATTTTAAACTATATACATGACATACATAAGAATAGCACTTCATACAAAACTTCTTCTTTCCTTAAGGTAAGTATACAAGAATATTCCATAAGTTAGATGTCAAATATAAATCTTCAAATACTAAATCTAAAAAATTATATTTAAAAAATTTTAAATTAAATACCAAATATAACTCATGGCTTTGACCTGTAGCCAAAAATACTCCCTCCAACCTTCATCATTAAGGCAGCAACACAATATGGGAATAACGCCATCCGTTTTTATTCCTTCTTGTGTTTTAGCCCACAAAACTTATTAGTTTATGATTATAAAGGTTCCCAAACAACACAACTTGCTTAGTAGGACCCAAAGTTAAATCATGGCACACGGTTATTGGCCCAAAGCTAAAAAATGCCATCATGATCTCTTTGCCTCACATATCTCGGTAAATGTTCTATTTAGCTCACCATTTCATCATACTTTATTTGTATCATCTATATTTAATTTATAAGCGTAAAAAATCATTCACTAATTTACTCGCTTTGCCTTTTTTTTTTTTTTTTGATAAAACAAACTTAAAATCTGGGATAGCTAATTCCTACATGATCAGGATCAGCTGTGCACAAAACATCCCACCCCCGGTGGACTTACTTTGCCAATTGAATCTTTATAAATTTTTTCTTGAATTGGAAAACAAAAATTTAGTGGGCTATTGAAGCATCGAGGTGCAAGTAAGACAGCGCAACAATGTGATCTTCTATCAGTCGAATTTTGTAATTAGGGGGTTCTAATAGTTTAGAAACCAGTTATAAAGGGGTTTTTTTTTTTAAAGTTGTGTGATAAAAAAAATCAATTTTACCTTTTAATCGATTTATTTATGTATTATGTGATTTAAATTTAAAGTTTTTTCTTTCATTAAAATTAAATTATTGAAGTCATTTTCATTAATTTTTTTAAAATTTTAATTAATTTTTATATAATTAATTTTTTGTATATCATATGATTTAAATTTAAAATTTTTTTATTTTTTCTTAAAAAAATTAAAATCAAATAATTTAGATGGTTGATATCAAACTATAAAGCTAAAACGTGTAAAAGAGAAGAAAATTTGAGGGACCAACCAGACGGATTATTCCTTAATTATACACCAAGCCTTAATGTAAGAAAAAAAAAAAAAAGGGAAAGAAAAAGTGACTTTATTTTCTCCTCTCCCACTAAATCCAAACAGTACGCATTGAGGTTGTATTTCTAGAAAGCTCAATTCTTGCTCCGGCACTGCAACAACAAAGAAATTTCCGAAGAAATATGAATCCGCCGGACAACAGTGACGTTCCTCCGCTCCCCACCATCAAACTTCACCATCCATCTTCCCCTCACCACCCTTCCTCCACCGCCACCCCCACCGCCGGCGCCCGCCGCAAGCTCGGCGTGGCCGTCGACCTCTCCGATGAATCCGCCTTCGCCGTCCGCTGGGCCGTCAATAACTACATCCGCCCTGGGGATGCGGTCATCCTCCTCCACGTATCCCCCACCTCTGTCCTCTTTGGGGCCGATTGGGGCCCCCTTCCGCAGCACTATTCCAACTCGTCTTCTGCCGAACAGCCTTCTCAGCAGCAACTGGAAGACGATTTCGATGCTTTCACTGCCTCGAAAGCTGCCGATCTCGCTAGACCTTTGAAGGAAGCTCAGATTCCTTACAAGATCCACATTGTCAAGGATCATGATATGAGGGAAAGGCTTTGCTTGGAGGTGGAGAGGCTAGGGTTAAGTACGGTGATCATGGGAAGCAGAGGTTTTGGAGCTGCGAAGAAAGGGAGAGATGGCAGATTGGGAAGCGTCAGTGACTATTGCGTGCATCACTGCTTGTGCCCAGTTGTGGTCGTGAGGTACCCGGATGATAAGGAAGGTAGCGCAGGAGAGCCGATGGTCACTGTGAAGGAGATGGAGGAGGAAGAGGTCGCTCTGAAGCCAGACGGGGAGAATCAGGATCAACAAGGTAGGGGTTTTTGAGGGTTTTAGTTTCTTGGCTTTTAAGCATTATGTGATGTTGGAATAAAGTTTAATTCTTGGGAAAGTTTAGGATATGGGTTTTGGAGGTTGTGATCTGTCTTTGCATAGTCATAGAAACAGCTGATTGAATACTGAGGTTTGTTGCTATATGGTTAAGGGATCATTGAATTAATGCCGTAAGAAAAATCTAGCTAACAATTTCTAGGATGTTCAATAACTAGTTTAAGTTGTTGCTATTTGAGGAGAAGTCAGGATTGGTTTCTTCTCTGTTATATTGTTTTTGTTTCCTTCATCTGATTTCTAGGAAACTTTCGGAGATTGGATATGATCTCTGCATTCAGGTGCTTTCTTTGGATATTTGATTTGTTAGAGATTATAACTCGTAGTGGAGTTAATTGATACTTTGATAGGCCAGATTTGGGATGGTTGTGATTTCAAAGGTGAATATCAGTATGCTATTTAAATCAGAGGTGATTGCATTTTGAGAAAGCATATATATCAGTTGGTTAGACACAGTTTATACGTGTTTGTCTGTGCGTTTGTTGATTCCTGTACTTTTTGTGATGGTTATTGAGGAAAACTAGACCAAGATGAAGGGAATATATGGTCAAACAATTATAGGAAGAATGGAAGATGTCTATTTACTGATGAACAGATGAAGCATCTAATGAATACAGTAAAGAGTGCCCACTTTGAAGTGTTGTAATATAACGTAGCAGTGAAGTTTTGTTAATTTATTGAAAGGATCGATAGTCTCCTCAAAACTCTAATTTTTGATTTTAGGTTGGTAATGTTCTTCAGCTCTTAGTTAGGTTAAAACTAGCATTGAATTATTCCTTTGGAAACCTCTGATATGTGCTTTATAATTTGTAAAGTACTCTAGCTGGGTTCTTTGCCATTACCACGGTGTTCTTTTTCTAGTCTGAGGGTTTTAAAATTTCTGAAGTCTATGGAGTGATTGAGAGGAGGTGATGTCAGTCAGGTTGCAATCATATTAATTATATGTATCATTCTAAAGCCAGATATGGGATTTGAGCTGCAGTTGCTCATGTATTGACGTGAAGTGGATATAATTTTTTTAAGGATTATCTCAAAACCCCTTTTTGTGGCTTGGATGCGTAATCTGTCATTTAACTGGCCTTGTTGAGATAGAATCGTCCAATTGTTTTGGAATCTTATTCCTCTGCGTTCATTTGTGTCTAACAGAGATACTTTGTTATATTATATATTACTTAAATGAAAAGAAGAAAAAAAGAGAAATGATGATGGAAGTTCTTGGGAATTAGGAGTAATGAACAGCTACCATATTACATTATATTTTAACTTTGTATTCTTCTGATGTGAGTCTTCTGATTTATTTCACTCAATAAAATGCATTTTAAGGATTGGATCAGTAGATTTGGTGGGTGGTAAGTGGGCTTCTTTTCATGTTTGAAGTTTATATCTGTCTAGACAGCTTGTGCAAATCTCTCATTAAAAAGTATAACATTGGTGTTTTTTACATCGCTCATGGCAGATGCTTGACAAATAACAAGTGGTTGGGGTTCCTGCGTTATCCTCTCAGCAACAGGTATGCATTTCGGTATTTGAAACATCCATGTTAAATTCTCATTGCTTGTTTATTTATTCAACATTTATCCAATTTCTATGGATCTTCTCTCTTCTACATTTCCTCTTTTAACCTGAAAGCCAATCTGGCTGTCCTCACTTGCATTTCTCAGGTCGACCGTAAAAGGGAATCCCAACTCCCAAGCTTCTAAAATGATATATTCCACCCTTGTATTTTGAAACACATGTTACTGAGTTCTTCCAATGTTTTCACCCTTGTTTTTTGTCTGTTAACTAAGAAACCTAGTTTGTCATCTTGTTTCCTATGTTGTAGATGGCGTGGAATGCTCTGAAGCCAACCAGAATTTGACATGACTAAAAATGTTGTTATCATGTTTGAGATGAACTGCATTTGTTTAAAATGGATTCGTAGATTCCTGTCTCACCTCCCTGTCTCTGTCATGTATCAACTTGGGGCGGATGGATGATGTTACCGTATGGCTGATAAAAGTGTTTGATTTTCTTTTATGCTACTGCAGTGTGATACATAGATAATCACTCTTAGAGAGTTTGTTTTTGCTTCTATGAGCTGTCCTGTATGCTTTTCAAAGAATTGAGCCTATTATAAACAAGTGCAGTTATCACGAAGGCATTTTGTTCTTGAAATTATACACGGTAAAAGCTTGAGAAGAAAAATAAAATTGCTGGTAGGTTTGCTCTTGCTTTTGCGCTGGCATCGGCCAAGGATAGACATCAGCCAAGGATAGACATCAGGCTACTTTAACTAGTCAAACTTCGTTGCCTCAATCAAGGGAATTCCAGAAGGAAAATATACCCAATTGTGAAAGGTTTTTCTAAAGAATTTTCTTTATACCATGGGTGAAAGAACAAAAGTGGACTTATTATAAAGGTCGGAAAAAACAAATCGATGGAGGGCTAACTCTATCCACTGCATTCCTCTTTGCTTGTGGACTGGGGATTGCCCTAGAGGGGTTAGGCAATTTCCATTGCTTAATGTTGACTACGGAACAACAAAAACCTTCGAAGAAGCAAACCCAACAAAAACCCATAGGTTGCTGAATTAGAGCTGGCATGTTGAGCAGAGTAATTAAAGGAGAAATTATTCAACAATGTCATTGATAAATAAAGAAGATCATGATTCAAGTTAACAAAAACTTAATTAAATTAATACTCAATAACGAAAAAATGTTAATTTAGGGTCAATGATAAAAGATTTAAACTTTTATTGTACTATGCAGCTAAGTATTAATCATTCAATGTACCAAAATAAAAAAAAAAAAGATCAAAATGCTAAAGATCATTTCCTACCTCACAAAAATGAATGATCAACTTCAACGCAAAGATATTTGTCCATATCTAACAAATAACAAAAAGCTATAATGTCCTCCAGACACACCCAGAGCACAAAAAATTAATAAAACCCACATTTAAGTCATGGAGTGATGCAAGTGGATTGCTTTTCACATCAACATGTCATTGCACCACACAAAGTTTCGTTTTCTCTCCACCATACATTTCAATATTGCATTCCTACTCTCACCTGCTCCCCATCCCTGCTGCCACAATCACCCACAAGTTTTGAAGCTTCTAAAAATAACAAATAACCCCAACAATGTTACAACTCGAAGAAAATCTTCATGCCAATTTGCCCATTTCTTTCACTTGTTAAAAAAGGACATATGATGATAAATGTTTGCATGATCAAAATATGTGACAAATTCAACTTGGATTAACAATAAAAATACTACCTCAAGATTGTATAAATTTGGACTGAACAGGAGTTAGTTGACAACATAGATCAATGGTTCTGATCCCTACTCAATCTGCAGATCCCAATGACCGTAGCAGCAGCATTGCCATTGTTAGTGATCATCTCTTTTTGGAGTCTCTTGAGTGAGCTAACGATAGCTGTGGGTTTTGATTTAGTTTCTTCACCATGATCTTCAGTTCTTTCCGATTGATTTAGTTCACCTAATCTCCGTTGCTTCAGTGCTCCAGAAACTGCCTCGCCGCCAGCAGATGCTCCGGAGCCAAGGTGAGAGGAGGAGCAGCCTATGTCATCCTGCATTTCCGAGAAAATATTCAATTCTGACCCTGTTTGGTTGCTAAGAAATCGAATAAAAGAAGGGAAAATGAAATAGCTTGAAAAAATTTTGAGTTCTTTCTGGAAAAATCCAGAAAGAACCTGTTAAATTTAAAGATTTTACCAGATCTATAGATGATTCACGGAACAAGATTGAAACAAAGCATCGATAGAACACAGAGCTACCAGAAACATAAAGAGAACAGTAAAGAAGGATTAAAGTAACCATACATCAGAGTACACGGCGAGATTCTCTCTCATCCGCTTCAATCCAAAGCCGCCTCCGCCGATGTCGGAAACCACCTCGTCTTCACCAGCACTTGAAGAATCAAAGCTCACCACAGGCGGCGAAGGCTGTGAAGAATCCCCTGACCACGGTACCACCTGATTCTCTCCATCCTCATCCTCTTCCTCATCACCACTATCCTCCACCATCATCTCCTCCTGATCATCATAATCATCGTTACCCTCATCCTCTTCACACTCCTCCGATTCCTGCGTCCGCTCCTCTTCCTTGCAGTCAACACCGGAGCAAGAATCGCATACACAGACCGCCGAACCCAGATTCTGACCGGATGCCCTCCACAGCGTCGGCTGTTGACAGGAGTGGCAGAGAAGACTCCTCGTGTGCTTTGCCACCAGAAAGTTCGCGCCATGCACTTTTCGGTCACAGTCCCAACACAGACTCGCCTGGTCGGACTCACAGTATATTCCGGCGGCGCCTCCGCACAGCTCACAGTTCTTCATCTTCTCTCCTTGGATTTCCCCTTTCTTCCTCTGCACTTCTGGGGAGGAGAAAATACAGCGATATTATTAACAGAAACCACCCATTAATGCTCTCCGGGGACAGTATCGTAATTCTAACTGCCAGTAATAGGGGTATTTTTGGAATTTCAAGCAGAACAAATTAAAAATCTGAACCGTATCGAAACGGGTGATTAACACAGTATCTCTATCAACGCATCCATTAGTTTTGGTCCACGTCAGAGAGCCACACGTGTCGAACATGGTGAGTGTCGTTTGTGTGACGTGGCGGTGATTTAGTGGTGGGCCAGGGTGAGGCGACGTGCTTTTCCTTACCGGACAGAACCGTTAAACGAGTGCCACGTGGACCGTGAATTCTGGAAGATATTTTTGTGTGGATGGAGTGGGATGATGTGTGTCTCTAGTGGTTTGTACGTGACTTGACTCGAGATTCCCCGATTCGTCCAGGTAGGACGAATCGATGTCTTAGCCACGTGACGCCCCTCTGGGCCTCGAATGAATCGGTCGACGTGTCATTCGGGACCCACATGTACGTTTATCCAAAATAAAATAATAAATGCAATAATAATCCATTCCTTCCCAGGGCTTCAGTTACCGGCACTAAGGTAATTGGCAATGTAATTAATATTTTATTATTTTATTTTATTAGATTAATTTTTTTATAAGTATAATTAGATTAAGAGAAATAAAAGAAAAAAAGAGAGATTTTTTTTTTAATTTTATCTTTTTAATTTAATTATTTATCTAACTAGAAAGAAAGGAATAAAGAAGAAAAATTATTCCTACCTCTTTTTCCACCATATTCATTTTCTTCAATTAAAATATAAGGTTAATATAAAGAAAATACATATTTTTTTAACTTTACTTGCAAGATTTTTATTTTTTAACATTGTATTTGAGTTGAGA